CTTTCCTTGAAGCATTGATTTCCATTTGAGATTACATAGTTATTAATATGACTTTTTAATGGTATCCATAATCAGCAGTAGCACTATAAACTTATGACATCAGACTTCTGTATTTTGCTAAACCCTAGCATCTAAGGTGGTAGCTGCCTCATAATAAGCACACAAATGTTAGTCAACAATGACACAAAATGAGGTGCATGTATAATACCACACCACTTAGTACTATTTGTAATAGTGATGTATTGAAAACAACCTAACACAAGCAGGCAGTCGTGAGTTCGATCCCCGGTACCGATAAAAACGAAAAAGAAAAAAAAAAAAAAAAAAAAAAAGAAAAGAAAACAACCTAACAAACCACCTATAGGGGACTTAACTGAATCTATTACAATATATCTGTATTTAACATGTTCCCACTGGTTTAAACTGCTATGAGTTTGTGCAATTTGTATCACTGGTAGTACAAATGGATCAAATCACCTCTTTTGGTCTTTTTGCTAATAAAATGAATTTTAAAAAGTCTATAAATACATCAAATCTAGTTAGTTGTTTGGATGTAATCACTGCTCAAATGTAAACTTTAATAATATATACTGTAATAATGATTGTAATATTTTAAAAAATTATTACCATAACCAACCAATTCATTTTTAAGTAATTTGTGCCTGTAGCATTTACTCATGGGTTGAAAGTTTATCATTTATTGTCTAATTTTAACATGGAAAGTTACATTACCCCGTTGTTGGTGTACACGTGCATTTACAGCTGTGGTATCAATCAGGTCCCTAGTTGTGTAGTAGCTTGGATACAACTGCCATTCCACAAATTAGCTGTATTACAACCTTTAATACCATTTTAGGGTTCTCCTTGAGGAACTGTAACTTAATGACATCTGGTCTACTAAATTACTGCCTTTTTTGATTATAAAGACTCCCTGAGAAGTGGTACAAACCTGCCTGATGGGACAGTCATGCATATACCAACAGTGGTTCAAGCTGGTGGGAAAGACCCAATTCAATTCAGAGCCACCTGGGAACAAGATTTATGAATTACAGCCCTGTCATGGACATTTTAAGGCAGCTTCATATGTGTTGAGAGGGAAAGATCGCTAAGCTCTACTTGTGAATAAAGCAATGCATGGCAAAGTCACATAGCACTACATGTGCCCAAACCACTGCAAATTTGGCTAATTTTTTTGGATTAAAAACTGTAATTGAATATTTACACAGAAAACAAGTCATAGAAGCCCTGTACTCAGAGAGTACATGAGAACCAGGGCATCTGAGGTAGGAGAGAAACCAGTGGCTACCATTTTGTACTTTCAGATATGAATCTGAAAATTCTGTTTTCAGTTCAGTTCAATTTGTTATCTGTTTAACTTCAGTGAACTCTGTGCAAAAGTCATTAAATGCCCCTGAAGGAAAAATTGTGTGGGATGTTTCACCCTTACCCATTCCCATCTTTGAACCACACCCCTCTTCCTGGTACAGTCCAGTCCCAGAAGGTTTTAGGACTTCCCGGGAAAGCTGCAGAAAGTTCTTAAAAAACACTTTTAAGTGTCATTTTTAAAGTAATATTTTAAAATGATCAATTGACAGTCATAATAAGCCCCTGTGTTACTCTTCACAATTTATAATGTACTTTTTACAAACACATGCTCTAATCAGATCCTCATAACACCTTTGGTTTATATGCATCTAATCCCATTTTATAGATAAGAAAACTGCAGTTATGAGAAATTAAGAGACCTTGCTGGAGATATAGCTCAGCAGCATAAGCACCTGCCTGGCAAGTGCAAGGTCCTAAGTGCAATCTTCAGTACAAAAAAAAAAAATCTGAGACCTGCCCAAGGTCATTCCTCTGGAAGCAGCAGTGCCAATCCAGACCTTCTGATTGAGAGGCCACACTGCTTCTCAGGCTGCTCAGAGGATGACAGCTCCTTCCTTTAGAGGGGCTTTTGAGCACTATAAAAAAAGAACAAGAGAACATGAGGGGGCAAAATGACCTTCCCAGACTTTATTTTAATCCCATGACATTTTATGACAGACTGATATAAGTATAGGTCAGGCTGGGTCTAACTCGTAGGGCATGGCTTTGGACTGGAAAAGAGGGAAAAATATTCAACTTCTGTTTTCACTGTTACACTTGCCCAGCAGGAAAGAAAAGAAGAAAGAAAAATATCTTTGGCTAGTGTAGAGAGAATCCTGCCAGTAAAGCTCCAACACGCCAAAGTCATTCCCTCAAGTCCCATCAACACTATGACACCAAACCAGAGAGGCACCGAACACTTAGCACCACTGTTGACTTCTTGGCAACTTTTGAAAGCAAGATCACATTTCTATTAACCCTGGGCTGGGTGGGATATCTGACGATGGAGAGGTGCTGGAAAGGAACCAGAGTGTGGGAAGATTTTGTTCCTGAGGACTGAGTTGAATGGTGCCCTGGGTGTGCCACACAAAAGTTTCCCTGCGTAAGATTTTCCTCCTTTCCATCTCTTAACCTGCAGATCAGCACTAGAGTCCCAGATTCATGTTTTTCTCTCAAATAAAGAAAGAACTAAAAGCAAAGAGAAAGAAATGTATGACTAGAGTCTGGGTCCACTGCCCTGGCTAAATGGAAGCTCAGACATCAATACCGTTATCAATGGAAAGGACATAAACTTGCTTACATATCTGCAGGGTTTACAACTGATGACACCACACACACACACACACACACACACACACACACACACACACACACACAGACAGAGACAGAGACAGAGACAGAGATACAGACAGACAGACAGACAGGCAGAGGCATTTATGCAAGTCCCAGGGCCTTCACAACTGCTCTCAGAATGTGAAAAAGATTAGTGTGCTCTGATTAACAAAAGTCTTTTGACACTTACTCCTACTGCAATAAAATAATTATCTAACAGCAATTTTGACCCCTCCTAAGGTTGAGGGAACTGTAGACTGTTCCTGACATTCCATGACGTGCTAACCCTGGATAGGAAAGGAAACTTGATGCTTACCTTCCCACCAGGACAGATATTTTAGTAGTTTTTAAAGTAAGGGAGCAAAGAGTGGTCAATAATTCTTCATCTAACTTTGTGACTGTCCATTTGCAATTGATTAAGTCATGCCAGACTATAGAAAAATATCACCAGGAGTATCGTAAAATTCTTAAAGTAAATTTACTTAATTTTAATTTTTTAAATTAAATGTTAAAATGATGACCTAATTTTATTTAGCTCTGCTGTGGCCCTTTTCAAAGGGAGCAGGGAATAAAAATGATACGAGCAAAAGGTCTGAACAGCTCAGGATGCTTTCAGATCAAATTTCTAAATTCAGCTGCTCAAAAGCACAGCAATCTGGAGCAATCATTTCCCTCCCTTCCAGTTCTGACTCTTCCTCCATGTACACTGCACTCCCACACTTCGTTATCTAAAAGGTCAAAGTACTACAGGGAAAGGGAAAAGGAATTCACCAAAGATCAACATCTGATCAACAGAAATAGATCTGCTTTGACATTGAAACAATTCTCCATGGTCCTGTTGTGCCTTTTTCCCCAAATAATGGAAAAATCCAATTCCAAAATAATGTTAATAGCTTCATTATGTGATCATAGGGCTAATAAGTTATGGGCTAAGCTATTCCAGTATTTTTAGAATATTACAACTCTGGACATAAATCTGTTATTATCAAGAATTTAACTAAGTAAGTGGCAGGTCCAAAAAGATGGTTTTCAGAATACACCAGGAGTCATCCACTCTTTGGATGCTTGGACTTAGGCTGGCTGCATCTGATTCAATACAGAGTAGGTGACAATGAAGATTAAGAAAGGTAAAGCAAAACAAGTATTTAGAAACATGTTAGGGCAAAATATAAGGCAGATTTCCAGAAAATTCTGATGACATATAGAGGGGTTAGATGAATCAAAGTTTCTGTCAATAGGATAGAGCTAAAAAAGAAACCTCTTAATGTCAAAAAAAGACTAATTTCCACTGGCTGGATGCATATCATGTGAACAGCTACTGTGGAAGAGCCTCAGGAAGACTTTGGGGGACAAGGAGCCCCAGGTGCACAATACAGAACTCCAGAAAAACAAAGCAGCTACCCTAAGCCACGTCACCAGACAAGAGAAATCATTTCCCTCAAATGTTTCCCATGTGGCTGCAGATAAAGGAAATAACTGATGCACACAGGACTATTACTTACCCTGTAAAAAGGTGATTCCACATTAGAACTTTCTCCAGGACTCAGCCACATTGCCCTAAAAACAGTTTCTTCTGGGGCTGGGTCTGAAAGACCACCCCATAGGTCCAGACAGATCTAGCCCAATAACATTCTAATTCCATTGTAACAACACCATGTTTTAGAAAAGTGACAGTCCTCAAAAATTTCCCCCAACTGGGATTTGATCTAGATTAGGAAATCTTTTTATATTTTCATATCCAAAAAAGCCTTAATTCTCCTATTCCCCATCATGTTCCCCATCCTAGCATCCTAGCAAGAGCCTTAAAATCACAGAAGTATTAGCTATGACAGTTATTTCCTTGAGGACTTTGTCTTCCCGTGGAACAATTCCTTCAATGCGAGTAATAAAAACAGTCCAGTGGTTTACATGTATTGAATTTACTCTTCTAAGCACTGTGCCAAGGGGTTTGCATAATTACATTTCACATATTTAAATCATACTGTGTCAGCCCTGTGGTATAGATGGTTCTATTGGCTCTTCTGCAGAAGAGGAAACTGAGATGGAATAATCCAAACTTCATCTCATTTTCTTTCCGTATTTTGTGAAAACATAATAAATGATAAAACCTCAGGAATCCAAAGTTTATAAGCAGTGTTTTCTAATAGCTGGAAGGGAGAGACGGGGGTGAGGAGGAGAGGGGTAATCACTTTGGTCTGAGTTTTTGCGAGAATATACTTGACTCCCTTCATCACAAGATTCACACAAGATGCAGCAGTTCCACTGTTGTGCTGTATGTAGCACAATGTCCAGCCAGTGCTTACCCTGCTGTCTTCCTGGATCTCCCAGTCACTGGAGAAAGTCATGAGCTGCTGCCCTTGGGAACAGTTTGCAAACTGGAAAAGACTGGAAAACATCCGTCTGTTTTCTTGTGTATCAGGAAAGATAGCGTCTTGGAAATTGACTCCATGAGGCAAAAGGTTGTAATTTTCATCCATCCTAGGAGGAGGAAAGAAAAAGCAAGAGATATATCTGGGATGGCTTGAGGAGACTAGCATGGGTCAAGAATCACAGGGCATCATGGGAATCTTGCCAAGTTCGTCATGGTGGCTCACATGGTCCTTGGGAACACAGTTCCTACTTCTGTTTCTCTCCTTCACACTTTCTGAGTCTATCCTTAAGGTTTTCAAAAAGGATGACTTGGAGACAGCAGGGGGAAGGTATGTGGTAGTATGCTTATTTGTCTATCTGTGTATCTTTCAGGTCTCTAACAAGCCTTTTTTCTCACACAGAGTATCCTGCTTCCTGGTAAGAAAAGGCCACTTGTAATGACCCAGGTTTGGGTCGTGCCTCTGCATTATCTTGTCTATGACATGAGAGGATGTCTTACGGCCTATGCTTCAGTCTTCCTGTCTGTTAAGAGAAGATTAGAACAGTACTGTAACTGCTTTCTTAGTGGTACCATCAGGATTGCATTAGACAATTTAAGTAAACGAAGCACTTGAAACAGATGCAGTATATGTGTTAGTAAACTTTTCTCTAAAAACCAAGCCTGATGCACATCTTTTCTTAGACAGAGCTGTCATTAAAAAGAAGAGACGAGGATTATAACCCAGGCAAAAGAGGATACTGTGGGATCCCCAGCCAGTCTCTACTGTCATCCATACACACACACACACACACACACACACACACACACACACACACACACTGTCTGTTCTCAGGCGGGGGATCCCTGAACAACAGAAAAAGAATTGATTTTGATGCAGTTATTAATTCAAGGAAAGACAGTCCTATGAAATGAAAATCTGTGAGACTACTGTTTGACTTGGTCAATCTGCTCCCTCTGTAAATATCTTAGAGCAAAAGACGGAAAGAGTTGGCCGACCACTCCAGCCATTGGACAGAACTGAGTTTCGTGATTAAAAAAAGAAAAGCAATAAAGTCTGCTCAAGTACTTGGGCTCCCCCTGCTTTGGAAAATAAAGTGCATCCTTGAATAGTTTTATAGCTGGGTTCTCAGTATTTTTCCTAAACAGAAGCATGAAAAATCTGAGTTAAGTTTCTCTGTATGTGGAAGTCTCTCAGTCTTGGCTGACTTCATTTAGAAACTACACTTTCTTGGCAATTAAAAACAAAACTACTCAACCCAATCTAGCTAAATCTTCTGAAGCCAACATAAAGCAGGACATGTTATTCTAAACTTAGATATTCTGGCTTCAATATGGAAAACACGTGTGGACATGAGCTTCCAAACACCCCTCTCTGGAACTGTTTTCTCTCTCATTGTGACAGGCGCTAAAATTCTGCAGACCTAGGTCTGGATCGTTCCAAATACCCAGAGTGCCCCTTCACAGATGAGGAAACCTGTAACAATTATTGCTTACAACACCTTTGGATTAATTCACTATCTTTGGACTAATTCACTTGCTATCTAGACATACAGGTTCATTTCCACTTTGATGCTTCTCGTTGTTCTGTATCCTTCTTAATTCAACTGAAATCAACCAATGAATTTATGGTTCCGCCTGCTGTTTTGCATGTCGGATTTCAGTAGAATTCAGCAATCAATGAGAATTGCCTAAATTCTGGGGCAAGATGCCTTCCATCTTGACCAAAGGCCAGTTTCACCGAACCCTGCAAGACTGTAGTGGTCCTGGATCAGACAAGCTCACCTGCCTGATGCACCCCTGTGCTCTTCAAAATGCTGTGAACCACTCTTACCCCCAGCAGGTCCCAGAAAACTGTATCTGGCAACTAACAGGAGATCACGCAACAAGGCAGTCAGACTGTGTTTGGGCACTGAAGTTACCCAGAGAGTGAATCCTAGTTACACAGTTACTCTGCACCAGGTGCTTTAGTGTCCATCAGTCTGGCTTCTCAGGATGCAGAGGTCCTTGACAAATAACTGACTCAAAACTGACAGGAAAGAAGAGCCAGAATTCCAAAGACTGATTTCGAAGATTGCTTGTCTCACCCTTCTAATCTGTGCCCACAGGAGCCAGTTTTTAAAAATATAATAAGTCAAATAGTTGTTGGAAAGCACTGTGACCTTTGCCTGAAACACCGGTGTGTGTACAGCACACGGAAATCACCTTTGGTTTTAAGAGAAGTGACCAGGATCGGGTAACGAAAGGGGTCTGGGGAGGGAATAAGGTGCGAGGTGAGCAGGACCCCGCGGGAGCCCCGAGCTGGCCGCGGGTCCCTTGCAAACGCACAGAGGTGGCGGTGGAGGCTGCGCCCGGCTCACCTGAGGAAGAAGAAATAGGAGTAGCCCTGGACGACGGTGTGCGAGTGGCAGGCGAAGTAGCCCAGGCCGGTGAGGTTGAACCTGGAGCCGGCGGGCACCTCCAGCATGCTGCCCCACGCCTGGTCGCACAGCATCTCGACCTCGGCCGAGTAGAAGAGCGCGCTCTGGCCGGCGTGGTACTGCCACGGCAGGTAGTTGTAGAGGCCGGGCGCCTCGGGGTGCAGCGCCAGCACCTTGGCGTACACGATGGTCTCGGCCAGCTCCGCGCGGCAGCCCTCGCTCAGCGGTCTCCACTCGGAGGGCAGCTGGCAGGCGCGCGCGGGGCGGCCGGCCAGGCAGAGCGCGGCGAGGAGCAGCGGGCGCAGCATGCCGGGGGCTAGCGGGGGCGCATGCCGGGCGCCGGGGTGCGGGGCCGCGGGGCACCCGCGCGGAGGGCGGCTGCGGCTCCTGCCCGCGCTCCCGCCCGCTCCTGCCCGCGCCCGCACCGGGGAGCTCGCGCGTCCTCAGCCGCTTCCCGGCCCAGTGCGCCCTGCCTGCGCCAGCCGCGCTTTAAAGGTCGCCGGGGACCTGCGCCCGCCTCCCGCCCTGCCTCCCCGACCGGGGCGGGGAGTCACCGTACAGCTGCCTGCAGGGCTCCGGGACCCGCGGCTGGGGATGTGCAGCGTCCCGGCCGTGCGGACCCGGTCAGAGCGGTGGCCAGGGTGAAGCATTGGGCCAGACATGGGCAGCCTGGAGTAATTAACCGCTAAGTCTTCATTTTATGTGGAGTTCATTCACAGAGAAATCAAACCTGAGTGCTTCCTCGCAGAGATTAAGTGTGGGCTAGAAAACTTTTTCAGATTCACATTCTGATTCTGATTATTTTTAAATGATCTTCGAAAAGCCTTCATAAACGAGAACACCCAGCCCGCAAGAAATTCAGAAGTAAATTCCAAACAGCTAAAAAGCCGAAATAAGCCCAGGGTGAATTTGAGGGGACCCAGACGTCACAGTTCTGCGCTCTCTAAATTGCCTTGATTACTCCTCATACACTTAAGAAACAAGAGTTTATAAATCCACGATCACGTATTTTATAGAATGCTGTATATCATACATATCATAGATCAGATGTACAATGTACCCCCATCGTGTATATACATGCTATATATACATAACAAACCTGTAAGATTTATAAGCAAACTGCTTTAAAATAATATAGCATTCTGCAAGCAGTTTGGTAATTTGACTTTCTGCCAGCTGAATTCTGTGACCTGGAGGGAAGAGTTCCTGGGAAAATCTGGAAGAAGAGAGGATACAAAAGTGAGAGCGAAGATTAAAGGCTGAGCTTGAGCTGTGTGTGGTGACCCCTGTCTGAAACGTCAGGACTGGAGAGGCTGAGGCAGGACCATCTCAGTGAGTGGGAGCCTGGGCTACATAGTGAAACCCTGTGTTATCTCAAAACTCCAGGGGGAAAAAAAAGAAAGAGAAAATTTGAAGGCTGGGCCTTACCTCTTCAGGACCCCTAATCTTGACTTCCTAAGCCTTCGGTTCGTTTGGATGATTCTATTCAGAAATGCTGGTTGAGGCAAAAAGCAACTCTGGTGCAAGTCCAGCCCCCAGCAGAAGGACCTGGGGCAGAGGGAACTGAAGAGACCCAAGGGAGCACTTTGGGCCTGGTCCCATGATGAAAGGATCAGGGTTCCAGGCAGCCTTCAGGGACTCAAGGACTGCAAAGGACAGGTAGGGCTCACACTGGTCTGGTCAGAGACTCGGTCAATGAAATTCTTGTGTGTTGCAGATAGAACCCCAGGTCTTCTGAACTACATGCCCAGCTCCTTGTTAAAGTTCATGGATTTCCTTTTTTTAGTTTCAGACAGAGCCTTACCAAGTCCCTAGGCTCAGCTTTCAATGAAACAAATTCTTATTCTCACAAACCCTGAGATCGGCCCCAGCGCAAGAGGAAAAGGGAGAGCTCCTCAAAGACAGGGAATCCCTACATATCTGATGTTCAGCCTGGGACCTTATAAATTCTGCAGAAACGGTAAAATCAGATTATCATTGAAGTGAGTGCAGGGGACAGCAGTGCCGAACAGAATCACTTTAGAGGGGGCTTTAACATGAATGGGGGAGTCACAAGGCAGTCCTCCTCCTCTGTTGTTTAACACGTGTGTTGAAGGTTTGCTAGAGAAATAGAAAAGAGGGTTATGACGTGGTTTATATCCCTGGAAGCAGATTTAGAGAAACGCTGCCAGATTTTAATAGACTGACAATTGCAAACATTTATTCATCACTTCCTCTGGGCCGGGTGCTATCATAAGGGCTTTAGGTGTTATCGTAATTAAGTCTCTAAACACACCCCAAAGTAGAAAGTACTGTTACTGTCATTTTACAGCTCAGGAAACTTAGACACAGAGAGATTAATTGACTTACCTAAGATCTCAGAACAAAAATTGGCTTTTTATCCAGGAATCAAACCTTAGCAATCAGACTTGAGAGTCAGTACACTCTCTGTGAATGTGGAATTGACCTAACATTAATTTTGTATTATCCAGAGGCCATGTTCTATTTCAGTTCTTCAATTCATGCAGACAAGATAGTAAGAAAGTTTTTCTTTTTCATTGCATCACCAAGTGCCTCAGAGAACTGGGAAAGATTTATCTATGTCTACCAACCTTAGAGCTTTGACTTCTTTCCATTTAGACCAGCAAATAAATAAAAAGTAGAATGCATATCTGTTTTCTCTCTTGTGTAGATTCGGCAGAATTGAAGCTCTTCAGTAGTCATTAGAATACATTTTCTAGAAGCTCATTCCAGAATTTGTCCTTCTCGTGGACTCCTCAGATGCATGAGTTATGGTTTCCTTCTCCTTTGTAAGGCTGGGGGCTGTATCAATTGGGGTTCTTTTCAGGGTGGAGCCATTGATATGTCTCATGGTGAGCAGATCCTTCTTGAGGACAGAGACTTCCAAATAACCATAATGTGCCCAGAATGGGGAACACAAATTCCATGAATGAATTATTGAATTTAATAATGACCCAAGGGCTGAGGATTTAGCTCAGTGGCATAAGCCCCTTCCTGCAAGTGCAAGGTCATGAATTCAATCTCTGGTACCAATAATAATAATAGTAATGACCCAAGCTATTTCCATCCCTTGATTCCTGGACTCTTCTGTTCTGCCTAAGAAGTAGATAACATCTTTCTCCGTTTCAAAGAATAAACAGTATCCTTCAAGACCTCACCCATCATTTCAGGGCATTGACTGCCAAGTGACAGTACAACTGAATCTTCCTCTACACTTTTAAAGTTTGCCTACTAACTCCCAGATAGTGCAGCTGGGATGAGAGCAGTTAATCCTGTGGCCATGAGCCCTTTGCTTTTTTCATGCTGTGAAAAGAGCCACATTATGAGAAGTACTGATATGCTGAGAAATCCCTTGATGGTGGGAGAGGTACTCTGGGAGTACCTAGTGGATGCTACTGGCAGAAATATGAAAGGCAGGGGAGGCAAATCTATATCCAGAAAATATCTGTTCCAGTGAAGATAAAGGTCTTCCCCTTCCATGATAGAAGCTGTCTATTGTAATCAATCTACTATCAGATGGCTTGCTGGTTTTCCAAGTGATTGGTAAATACTAGGGGTTAATGTTACTCCCTATTGTTGACACATTAGCCTGCAGCAGTAGTATTAGCCAGACCTGCCTTGGTATGGGGAAGTGGGTGTGGATGGACTAACAAATTATCTGCCTCCATGCCAACATGGTCATGAACTTACAACAAGCTCTAGGTTGATTGATGGACACCCATACAGTACATGGTTTGCTGACCTAATTATCATACTGAGAACTTCATGTTCTATGAATGTACTTTGGCCAGCACATGTGATACAGATTCCTCCCAATACATGATCATTCTAAGAGATCCATTCTTATCCTTCTTCCCAGATGCCCCATCACTGGTTTTCTTGATGCTATCTCTTTCAAATAAACTATTAGCAACTCCCCATGAACTAGTATAACTTGAACTACCAGCCATCTCTAAGTCTAGACATATCATGTAACTAAATGTACTGCCCAAAGTACTACTTACTGGGAGAAATTTTCTGTAACAATGCCCTTTACTGCATCTAATACAGTATGATCAGCAAACTCGACTTGGGTTATTTCTCCCTTAATCAGCTGGTCTGCAGTGTTTTGGAGGTGCTTTGTCTCCCAAGGGTTCATGTGCAGTCTCTAATGTTGCAGTATTAGGAGCTGGTAAAACCTTTAAGGGATGGCGCTTGGTGGGAGGTAGGTAATTAGAAATATCACCCCAGGAAGGGGTTGATGCTGTTCTGTTGAGGTCATTCTTGTGAGAATAAGTTGTTATAAAAGAGTAAGACTGGTCCCTCCTTAGACCAAAAAAGACTGGTTTGTTCTGTTTCACAACGTGGTCTGATGCCACAATGTCATCTGCCATTAAGCCCTTACCAGAGGCTAAAGCAACTGAGCTGTCTGATCTGGAAATTTTAGTCTCTAAAACTATGAGGTCAGTAAACTTGTTTTCTTTAGAAAGTCTCACCTGCTGGTGTGTTGTTACAGCAACAGAAAAGGGATTAACACATGGAACATCCCCAGGAAACTATTGATTCCAGGAAAGAAAAGGGGAAAAGTAACTCCAGAATTAAAAGAATCTGAGCCACTTGCCCACGTAACTTATTTCTGGACCTGCTCAAGCACAGCCTATTATATAACCATTTTCTTTCTATGATAGAGTGTTCTTGCATACACAACTTTATAGATGGGTGAGTCAAACAACACCTAGTTTATGATGAGAAACTCAGCTCATGTGTTTACTAAATTCATGTTTAGGTATTCAGCCTTCACCAAGACCAGTAGTATGGTAAAAGTTACTTTTCAAGAGAAAGTAAGGATGCCCAGATTGAAGCATAGATTTATGTCACAGTCCTGTTATCTTGCTGGTGCCTGTAAGACACTCAACACAAGATTCCTATTTTCTGTAGGCATTTTCTGTATCACTGGACTTGGTTGGTAATAAGATGTGAATGCACATGACTTTATCTATACCTGATCCTGCTGCAGATACTTCTATTTCTGCAATTAGAAATTAGCAGCCTTGACGGTGACTCCATAAATGGGTCCAAGTAGCACATTCAATGTGGCATATGTGACTTCCCCCAATATGAAAGAGTGACCAAGCATGTCCCCCATTTTCCACTGTAGATGATCTAAGGAACAGCCACACCACCATTTTCTTGGAGGAGTAACAGCTGACCAGCTGATGATGCACTGAAATAGCAAGTCCTTGAATTTGGGGAGCTCACCTCCTGCCTTCTATATTATTCACATATTATCTCTCTAAGGCCTCTAAAATACCTCATCCTTCATAAACATTCAATCTATGTATCATAATGTCATGAGTGAAGTGATTCAATATGATGTGTGGACTTATCCCTTCCTACAATAATAACTGTTATGGTTTGTGTCTGGGTGTCCCCCCAAAGCCTCATGCAATCATAGAGGCAGCTGAACCTGGCATTTGTGATTGGTTCATTGTC